TCATCTATCCAAGGACCTCCAGTCCTTGGCAGGCTCTGAACGTGAAGGGCTTTGGGATATTTTTCAAAGAAGCTGTCAGGATTGCTTAAGCGGCTTTTTCTCTTTCAAAGTGAGGAAATCTTACTGAGGCTCTGGGAACAGGTAGCTACATGGCTCCTCAAACCTTGGCAAGGGGATAATTTGCTTCCTAGTTTGGTTTGCCTTGTGCCTCAGGCAGCATTCAGAGCTGACAGAGAAGCATGCAGAGCCCCAAGCTGCCTCCCAACTTGTGTTCATTTGAAGCCTCTTAAAAAGTCAATATTGTCGTGAGAATCAAGGAGCCGTTCTTGTCAACTCTCCTGTTAGATTCAAGTTCATGAGCTTTTCTCATTTAATTCTGAGAAGACATGAAATCACCCTGACACTCAGGGGAGAACACATGATGGGTCACCTTCTTACTTTACTGAAAATACCAACTCCAAATTCATGTCCCAATGAAATAGATCCCTGGTTGGTCTTTTAAAAATTAGTTACTTCTTTCATTGATAAATGTTAGTGGGGCAGGGGCTAGGGGGAGAGGAACATAAGTGTGGGGATGTGGGACATCTGTAATATTGTCAACAATAAGAAATAAATTAAGAAAAAAGCAATGTTAATTTGAGAACATATGAAATTACTGTTTTACGGATCAAAAGTGATACCGTGTTGACAATTTTATATGGTTCACCCTAACACAAAGCATAGAGAACAAATATTAAAAGTACAAAGGGTACATTGGTCTCTCTCCTATTTCATTCAATCTTCTGTTTTCTCTCCCAAAGGCAATAGCTACTGCCAGTGATTTGAAAAACAATTTTATACAATTTGAGACATATTTTATACATATATTAATGTATAAACATATGGAAGCATGGGATGCACACTTTTTTAAACACATTTCTTTAGCCGAATTTCTTAGAATAATTCCAACTAACCCCTTCATGGTTTCAACCAGTCCTTGTGTATATGCCTGTTGTTCCCAATGTTTTGCTTCTATAAATAATACCATAATAACACATCTTTGCTATGTGCGAATATATGTACATAAATCTCTACAAGGGGAATGAATAAGCTGAAGGGCTTGAGATTGTAAGTTCTGAGAAATATTGACAAGTTTCCCTCAAAATGGGTTGCACTAATTTACATTCTCTTCAACAACGCGTTCTTCTTGCTCTGTAGTCGACGCTTTATAATTGTCATCTCATGCCTTCGCTCATGACTTGCCGACATTGGGAGGCTCTAAATAGCTCATATCAATGAACAAAGCTGAACAAAATGGTGATGCTCTGAGTGCTTCCAGTGGCTGCTGGCCCTCAGAGCATGATCCATCTCTCCTGCATTGCCCTTGCGTTTGTGGGGTGGCGCTGGGGGTGCTGATGCAAACTCATTTCCCAGACTCCCTAGGTCGTTGGCTTCAGGTTAGGATTAGCCAGCGGAACAGTGGGAGGGAGGAAGCCAGGACATTTTCTCTCTGTGTGTCTGGTGGCATTTCTAGCCTCTTTGGTTCTTGTTCCCCCAGCGGGTTCCTCCCTCCAATGTCCTGGCTCCAGCTGGGTGTCCTAGCCCTGGGATCAGTCACACCTGCTTCCTTTATCTCTCTAGCACTGGGCTGCAAGTAGGAAGCCCCTGGCTTGAGGCTGCCTCACTGAGCCCTTTTAGCTTTTCTTTTCTTTTTTTTTTTTATTGCTTAAAGTATTACAAAGGGTATTACATATGTCTCCTTTCCCCCGAAGGCCCCCTTTTTATGCCTCCTTCTCCCAATTCACTTTTTCCATTACAA